CTTTTTCTTTTTTTTCTTTTCTTTTTCTTTTTTTTTTTCTTTTTTCCCCCTTCTTCTTTCTCTTCTTATTTTCTTCTTCTTCTTTTTTTTTCTTTTTCTTCTCTTCTTCTTCTTCTTTTTCTTCTTCTTTTTCTTCTTTTTTCTTCTTTTTTTTTCTTCTTCTTCTTCTTCTTCTTCTTTTTTCTTCTTTTTCTTCTTCTTCTTCTTCTTCTTCTTTTCTTTTTTCCTTCTTCTTCCTTCTTCTTCTTTTCTTCTTCCCTTCTTCTTCTTCTTCTTCTTCTTCTTCTTCTTCTTTTTCCCTTTCTTCTTCTTCTTCTTCTTCTTCTTCTTTTCTTTTTCTTGGTGTTGTTTGTCTTCCCCCCTTTTTTCCCCCCCCCCCCCCCCAAAGAGTGCCAAAAAACCCGGTGAACAAAATGCAACATTCGATGAGGTTCCCCTGGGTACATGTCCTATTATCCATTCAACCCTTTTAGATTATTAGAGCCTCGTTTACCCCCGGGGCCGATCCTGAAAAAGGCCAAGCAACACAAGCAAACATCAGACATATGATGTACGTACCACTATCACTCAGCAGGTTCTCTACTTGGTGTGGCTTTCGTCACAGCACACATCAAAGTCTGTCCGTCTCTGACCAATTCTCCAAACCTGTGCTATTTCGTTACCAGTGCGTCTTCAATGTTTATATGTATGTATATGTGTGTGTGTGAGTGCGCGCTCCCGCGTGCGTGCGTGCCAGCGAGTAAATATCTGTTAATCCAGGAATTTTGGAAATTCTATAAGTTCTTCTTTTTCCCCTCCTCCTCTTCATCCCCTCCTTCTCCTCCTCCTACTTTCAGCCTTAAAATGATAGTTGCAAGTTGGTTGTGGTTTTCAGCTAGGTTCGATATCTCTATCTTTCAGCCCAACACATCGATTTTAGAAAAACCTTAGTTGCCTCTCCAAAAAAAAAAAAAAAAAAACAGATTTATTCTCCCTCACCACCTTCCTTGCCTAGAACGTGGGTTACCCAGAACCCACACGGGAATGTAGGATCATCAACCTCAATAATGGCCGTGAATTGTGCTTGATCTACTTCAACAGAAGGGTCCTAGAACGTTCTGAGCAAATAAGACACTATTTAATTTAGCGCTTCGCTTAAAACAGCAGTGTCTCCGAGCAGAAGGGGTCAACCCGTCTCCCTCACGCTTTGAAGGTCATGGGTTCGTTTTAAGGACGCGGCGTTCAGTTCGGAATTAAATTTTTATAGTGTTCTGTGGGGATCGTCTCTAGAGCTGTGGAGTGAGGTTTTGTGTGACACTCTAGGCAGGCGGCTAGTTGTCTATATTTTTTTTCTTTAAACTAAAAACCAACAAACGATGGGATTTCCGCGACATAAATTGAAACATACATAACCCCTATTTATGGATTCTCAGAAAAACGGCTAAAGGGTTGAACTTGATACTCAAAGTTACATGGAATTTAGAGGGAACACCTAAAAACAGTCAAGTTTATCACAGCAATTTGTATGTCGGTGTAAAGGTAGGTAGGTAAGTAGTTGTACCCCACCAGGACATCACACAAGCGATAAATACCCTGTAATACAAAGTGCCACCATGCAGATGAGGATCACCCTTGGAGAGGTCCCAGAAACCCGTTTCAGCCGTTTAGGCCATATCTATGGCTGGGCCATATTTATTAACCGGCTATATTCAGGCCCCCGGCAAAAGCCAGGGTGGTGCTTCAAACAACAACAATTGCACGACTTGTCAACTAATGTCGGTGTAAATCATAGAGCGATCACAAGAAGTGAACATGTTGTAAAATAATTGCACAACTCACTAACGTATATTAGCCTGACTTGTATACTATTCACAGGCGAGATGAGTTATGCAGTCAACTACATCGGTCACTACCTTGTTCCTTGGGACTGGGGCAACAAGCCTATGGTAGCAACGTGTACAGGGAAACGAGAGGCCAGCAGAAGGGCCGTGTCAGACATTACCGTGTCCGCGACCTGCTCGTCCTCACTTGACCTCAAGGTTACAGTTGACATGGGCCCAGCGGAGACTTTTCCTGGCATTGACCACGTAAGAATTCGTTGTACAGTGTAGAGTCAGCATGGCAGGTAGAATGCAACACTTTAAGTGAAATTCGTTGTACAGTGTAGAGTCAGCATGGCAGGTAGAATGCAACACTTTAAGTGAGAATTCGTTGTACAGTGTAGAGTCAGCATGGCAGGTAGAATGCAACACTTTAAGTGAGAATTCGTTTGTACAGTGTAGATTCAGCATGGCAGGTAGAATGCAACACTTTAAGTGAGAATTCGTTGTACAGTGTAGAGTCAGCATGGCAGGTAGAATGCAACACTTTAAGTGAGAATTCGTTGTACAGTGTAGAGTCAGCATGGCAGGTAGAATGCAACACTTTAAGTGAGAATTCGTTGTACAGTGTAGATTCAGCATGGCAGGTAGAATGCAACACTTTAAGTGAGAATTCGTTGTACAGTGTAGAGTCAGCATGGCAGGTAGAATGCAACACTTTAAGTGAAATTCGTTGTACAGTGTAGAGTCAGCATGGCAGGTAGAATGCAACACTTTAAGTGAGAATTCGTTGTACAGTGTAGAGTCAGCATGGCAGGTAGAATGCAACACTTTAAGTGAGAATTCGTTGTACAGTGTAGATTCAGCATGGCAGGTAGAATGCAACACTTTAAGTGAGAATTCGTTGTACAGTGTAGAGTCAGCATGGCAGGTAGAATGCAACACTTTAAGTGAGAATTCGTTGTACAGTGTAGAGTCAGCATGGCAGGTAGAAAGCAACACTTTAAGTGAGAATTCGTTGTACAGTGTAGAGTCAGCATGGCAGGTAGAATGCAACACTTTAAGTGAGAATTCGTTGTACAGTGTAGAGTCAGCATGGCAGGTAGAATGCAACACTTTAAGTGAGAATTCGTTGTACAGTGTAGAGTCAGCATGGCAGGTAGAATGCAAAACTTTAAGTGAGAATTCGTTGTACAGTGTAGAGTCAGCATGGCAGGTAGAATGCAACACTTTAAGTGAGAATTCGTTGTACAGTGTAGAGTCAGCATGGCAAGTAGAATGCAACACTTTAAGTATCGGTTCTAGGGGTTTTTGGGGGTGCGCCATGTTGGAGGAAATAAAAAGACCTACTACACACTAACAAGCTTGCCTTAAAAGTGGACTAATTTTGGGTATATCCTTCAAAGTCGGAGTGCACATACCCCTGAAGGCGAGGAACCAGACCTGTTTACAAATAAGTCAGATCTCTAAAAGGATGTGCAGATAAAACTCAAGATCTGGAACAAATTCAAAATCATGGAGTACACGAATCAACATAACTTTTCTGTTGGAGTTTACAGGAGTAAACACAAAGAAGAACATTACAAGACACGAAACCATGTTCATATAAGAGAGAGAGAGAGAGAGAGAGAGAGAGAGAGAGAGAGAGAGAGAGAGAGAGAGAGAGAGAGAGAGAGAGAGAGAGAGAGAGAGAGAGAGAGAGAGAGAGAGAGAGAGACAGAGAGAGACAGAGACAGAGACAGAGAGAGGCAGAGAGAAGGGTAAGCTAGCTAGACGTCTTTTCAAAATGTTCTTGTTAACATTTTCATTATAAGAACTTTATAGGGACATACATGTGTGTATGGTAGCCATAATTAGAAAACATATGTATACAGTATACAGATATGCCTGGTCAAATGCCATCATTATGTTTGAGGGGTCTCCACCCAGTTTCCACGTTTGTGCTCGTCGACAATTGTATCCGCTTTTATAATGAAACGTTTCTTGGCGAGTTTCTTCGATGTTCACGTTTTATATAAGGTCAATATTTTGCGTCTTGGTAATTTCCGGTACCAAGTGAATACTACTGCAATATTTCATTTTATAAGCCACCATTTACTTCATTAGTTATCGCGATAACTAATTCCCAATGTTATCATAGTAAATAGACATGTCTCTACTCCCACACACACACACACACACACACAAATAATAATAATAATTAGATCGGTGGGTAAGCTTGTGCAAAAGTTTGATGTGGACAATAAGGCTGGCTGTAGGGGGACGAATATCAGGGAGAATTCACTGAACACACCTGACTCTATGAGCAGAAAGCTACACGGTTAAACATTCTAGTTGTAGTCTGTGATGTGTCAATGGCCTAGTATGGGTTCCAGAGCCCCATTAGGGGATTGGGGATAGACCCACTGCCCTTTCATTTACAATCATTCGGTAAGAGGCGACTAATCAAGGGTTTCCTGAAACTGGATGCGTTAGGCCGAAAGGCGCAGATGTCGCAGCCTGGTTGCATACCTCAACACAACATGCCAAACGTTTTTAAAGAAGAAGAAGAAGAAGAAGAAGAAGACGAAGAAGAAGAAGAAGAAGAAGGAGTAAAACAAGAAGCAAAGAAGAAGAAGAAGAAGAAGAAGAAGAAGAAGAAGAAGAAGAAGAAGAAGAAGAAGAAGAAGAAGAAGAAGAAGAAGAAGAAGAAGAAGAAGAAGAAGAAGAAGAAGAAGAAGAAGAAGAAGAAGAAGAAAAAGAAGAAGAAGAAGAAAAAGAAGAAGAAGAAGAAAAGAAGAAGAAGAAGAAGAAGAAGAAGAAGAAGAAAAAGAAGAAGAAGAAGAAAAATAAGTGTTAGGGTGCTCCAAATGTACGCCGTAAACCACTTTAATTCCGTGCACTGACTCACAAGCGGGAAATAAGTAACTTCGGAAACTAACAAGGTTGATTTGTGTCCCTTCTCCCCAGTTTCAGTACGCCATAGAGCCGGCGAGTACCTGGGTGCAAGGCTATACACCAGGTATGCACACATGTACCTCTGCAACCTGCCAGAAAGATGGCAACAAGGCCATCCTCTCTATCAAATCTCCGGCTAATGAATTTAAGTAAGTTTTATCACATTTTAAATATAAACTCTTGAGTAAGTGTAAGTAAGTAAGTAAGTATTTAAAGGACCCTTTCCAAAGCCTTCAGACTTATTGGGCATATAGGGCTAGATCTACAGACCTATCGGCCCTTAGCGGGTGATATGGCCAGCATCACACGGTGCCAGAAAATGCCACTACTCGGATGAGCATGTCTCGGACACATGTCCCAGAAACTCCGTCGACCGTTAGGATGTATGAGCACCTTGGCGTTTAGCTGTGGGATCATAGCGGAAAATCCATGTTTCATCCTCTGCAACAATAAAATTTAGGAAATCTTTATTACTGTGACAAGTTTTGATGATGTCTTTTGCGTACTCAACATGCTGAAGTTTTTGGTCATCAGACAAGGAATGTGGTTCAAACCAGCATACAACTTTTCTCTTGCCCAAATCTTCCACAAACGTTTTAAGAAAGGTCTCTCTATTAACATCTAATTCATCCGCCATCATCCTCACAGTCAGACAACGATCATCTTTTATCAGTTCTCTCACTTTTGCAATGAATTCCTCATTACGAACAGAAACTGGGCGTCCAGGTCTAGTTGCATTGATTATAATTTCTATACCAATTTTGAATCGTGAATACCACCTGAAAATCTGTGCACGAGATAAACATTTATCCCTATAAACTTGTTGCATCAATTAAACTGTCTCCATGGCGCTTTTTCTGAGTTTGAAACAAAATTTAATGTTAGCTTTTTGCTCCATTCTGATTTCGTAAAATGCACAATTAACTAGGTCAATAAAATTACGGCTTGTTTGTCGTCTGCTTATCAGCGGCGATGCAAACTTGCCAGATCATAGATGAAGGTTGCCTCTTTACATTCTTTGCTTTGCTTCATATATGACATTTTTGTCTTGGCTATAATAAAATCTGTCTCATTACTTAATTGTCGCACCTTGTATATATTTATATATCTGCAGCAGGTTATAGAATTTAAAAAGGCTGGCAAGGCAATTAGCGCGCTTGCGCGCGCACACACACCCACACAGTGCACAAATTAAAGATATATTATATGACTAGAACAATCGGAGCTAGAAAGCTAACATCAATATCTCGCAGACATCTTCGCTGCCCAAAACACGCCATGGCACCCCCCCCCCCCCCCAACTAAGCTGGCCGTTATTGTTTTTAAATCCTCTTTGATGGGGACCTACGGCCTCTAGCCTTACAGGTGAATGTGAAACTGTGAGTATTGATAGAAACCACAACATTCAAAGTGCTTTGTTCTTCCAGGCTGGCCATAAACGTCATCGGAAGACTAACATTGCCTAGACAATCTTGGCTGGAGAAACCCTACGAGGGCAAATGTGATGGTTCTGTTTTGCGAGACGGCGACACCTCAACGAATCCAGGCACGTCGAATCCACCCATACAAAAGCCAGGAGGCAACAACAACAACAACAACCAACCTTTCAACCCGACCTACACCACCAGCGACATCTCTGAAGCCAGCAAGAAGTTCGTCATGGAACTCAACGAACCAGGAACAGACCTCCCCGGCCAGACCCGCAAATTCATTGTTTACTTCTCTTCTCCGGTTGTTGCCAGAATAGACGAGGCTGGAAGTAAGGTGACTTTTCAACCACAGGGAGGTGGTGCTTACACCGGCCTGGCTCAGATTGTGTATGCCGGGACGTCGCCAAGAGGAGACGGTTCCAAGGTGAACTTCTTCGACAAGTATGCGGGGTTCTACTCCTACAGTCCAACGCTGAAGTACTGCGCTAGTCAGTCAAGCAATAAGGTCTACGTCAGTTACGACTGGAACACCAAAGACGCAAATGGCAATGCTCCTGGCGGGAACCTGTTAATGGTGACAATGCCACATCATGTAAGTATGGTGCACCACTATAATATAAACACGACATTTAATATTCGACAGTCCGTGAAGCGAAGCCTGTGTGAACATTGAAGCACAAATTAAATGTTCAATGACTTTTGCAACAGTTGCATTATTAGTTCAGTTGTGCATGAAAGTGTCAAATGAATAGGCATATTTCACACATTTTTGCATTATTTATATTATGCAAATGACCACTAAAGTTATTATTTTTTAAATATATTTCTATCGAAAGTCTCCACTGGACACCAATATCCAAAGTTCTTAGTTATTTAAAAGCAAATGCATGACATGATTACTTCAAGCTGTGACCAGACAATGTTTCATGACTTATTTAGTGCTATGTCTCTTTGTGCAGGCATTACTTCTACAGAAGACGCATCCAGAAAAGTTGATAGACACACCGTTTTTCTACAAAGCTTTTGAAGGTAATGACTGGCTGATGGAATATGATTTATTACACACAGAAATCGACCCTGATCCACAGGGCGTGGCCAAAGTCAAAGCGAATCCGTCACAGCTGAAGGTAAGTGAGATGTACAGAGTATAACACATACAGTTCTTTCTTTTATTTACCTTTACGCATTATTTAATGAGCGCAGTTCTTCGGTATACTTAAAAAAAAAAAAATACATAAACCGAACAATTGTAAGATTAAATGTATGAGAAAAACGCTAAATTAATCACATAAGATCTAATAGGAAAATATCCTTTTAGATATATTTTCTGGAAAGCACTTTTTACCAAAAAAGCAACTCAAAATCAAATGATTGTTAGAAAATGCCAAGGCTAGTTAGCAAAACAGGCACTAAACCTGGGAAAATATTATACACGAGCAACAGGAGGCCCAGGAAAACAATAAATTAATTAAATTGAAACTATTTTTCATCATTCATAACGACATGTCTGTTTTTTATAGTAATTATTCTTTACAAAGAAAATTAATGGAAAAGTTGAAACTGATATTGACGATGCACAAATCAGAAAGATATATAGAAATGGTGTTTTAAACGCAAGTATTTTAACTTGTAGAAAATATCAAGTTGCTGCAATACCTTACTGATATCCCTAATATTTATATTTACGTGTTCAAATCCTTAATATGAAAACTTAAATGTACACACAAGCTTTGTTGTTTAATGCTCATTACCTGGCCTGTTTCCCTTTGATATCATCAATAAGCGTCCCAAAGTAGGACGCAGTTTTGTGATGTTTTCAAGCCCCACCATAGCTGTCCGAGTGCTCTAATATAACCCAACGTATGGGTTGAACGGGGTTTCTGGGACTTGTATGATCCTTATCCAGATGGTGGCATTTTGTGTCACCAGGTGTTTATCGCGCAGTGTGGTGTCCTGGTGGGGTTGAACGTTAGTCAGTTATGTTTCCTTTTGTGTTGTTTTAAAAAAAGAAACCATATATGCCTGACTATCTATGAGGCTAGCTATAATGATTCTATAATGGATTTTTCCCATCTTGAAACCAGGATATTTTAGCTGCCATCGACAGAGACGCGCAGAAACAGAATTTAGACGGCAACTGCGCCCACACCGACAGTTACAATGGTGGTAAAGACATAGGAATGGTGGCTCGGTTGGCCAGCCTCTCCAGGGTGTTCGGCACCAACCATTACCAGAAGCTGGACGAATCCATCAAAAACTGCCTGGAGAAATGGCTGAGGATTTCAGGTATAGATGACCTATGTCGGCCATGGTTGTAGGTCTGTGGCTATATGTTTCATGTTTTTATGTTTCCTGATCCTTAACCTTTAAGTAAATGTGAACATGTTCAAGTGTTTGGCCACGTTGCTAACAACTACTGGAATATGTATTAATGAAATTAAGTGCAGAATTTCCCTAGCAAACGTGGCATTTCATTAGGTGGCGTAAATTATATTTAAGAATAAATGGGACAGAAAAAGCAACAGTAAGTCGTGGCAATGAGCAAGTTGGTGGGATAGAAATGCAGGGAAGATCAAGAGAGATACTACATCTACTAGCATCATAAAGCGATACTAGATCCACAATGGCGGACAGTAGAAGAGCAATGTCCTAGGACATAAATCTTTGGATCAGGGAATAGTTCATTTGTTAGTTTTAAAGAGCTTTCATAAGTCAACGATTTTGTACTGTAATCAATTAGCACATTACTTGTGGATTAGACGATGTTCAAATTTCGACTAATTGTTTGTAATGAATTATAACAACTACTGTCTGGGAATTCAGTTAAACATATAAACAAGACATAGTTGTCTAATGCAGCAACTGTTTCCTTTTTAGCATAAGTCCTAAACAAGACAGCTGGTTAATGATCTGTACTATTCTGAAACGCATTTAAATTAGGTCATAAATAAGAAATAACTGATCAATAAAACAACTGTATAAGGTTTAGTTCAGTTAAATCAAGTGAGGTGAGTTGAGCTGATTAAGAATTGACATTTTAGCCAACGGGACATATGTGCTCCATGCCCCATCTTCAGCAGACAGAGCAGAATGCACCAGTAGCAATCACGTCATTTGTGTGCAGTTGTTCTGTAGTCGGCGAAAGGTTGCAGTGACTACCTCGGTTCCATTCTCAAACTAGAAATTAGAGCATCATTTGCCATACTTTGCTGCACTGTTCGCTTTTGATATGAACCACCTGTACGTGTCATGATTAAGTTGGTGAATTTTTTTTTATTCTGAAGCGACGTCCAGTCACTGCATTCCCGGTTCAGAGTGATTAAATCTTTTTTCATGTCCCGATTATTGCAGTGGCACTTAGATACACTCCTCTGCCCGCTAAAGTTTTTTTTTTTTTTTAAATTCAAGCATGTACACATTTTCAATTGTGTCCTCTGTCTGCTCCATTAAGGTTATCTGTGATCAATATCTTTGTATAGGGTGTCATGCAGAAGATGTCTCTCGTCAGCGGCCATTCTTAGGTAAAATATTTTCTTGCAACACGTTAAACGTATCTGCAGTGAAAGAATTGATGCCACACATACTGCTGTGCTAGCTCTTGTACATCTGACAGTTTCTAGCATGGTTTCTTCATACTGTATACGTTCAGGTTTCATCACCAGACCCGCAGCAGGAAACATGAAGTAGAACAGGCAAACAGTCATAGTTGGCTGCAATGGATCTTCACAACTCATTGTCTTTTCTTCTCTTTGTACACGCTTTCTCCTGCTCCTGCTTATCTACCCTAGTGATCGACTGTCCTCAACTTATTCCTCCTATTTATGTTTTTAAATTAATGTTGCTGTTTTTATTTCATTTAACGTTGACGTGGTATGTTCCGTTGTCTCTTTTTTTTTTTCGTGAAATACGACATACTCTACATACTATCAATCCAGTGCTTTACTTTGTCTTTATAACTGCTTGTCCTTTCTCCCTTTTTGGCTTATATTAAGAATGAACATATATAAACCTCGCAAATTTTTATGTTTAATGTGTTATTTCTCTAGATGTTGTGATGGCAATTACTAAAACCTTCAATTTTGCTTTTTACACAAAACCTCAATAAATAAGTGTTTTTCTAACGCTGCCAATAACACTTGATGTATCTTTGCCCAGATACACTAGAAGACCTATGGAAGTTCCATTACGACACTGTCTGGGGCGGCTTGTTCCTGAGGGCCACCACTGATGCTCAGGTGGATTGGGGCACGGACTATGGATTCCCTTACTACAATGACCATCACTTCCATCTGGGCTACTATATCTATGCCATGGCCTACTATGTCAAACATAACCAGGCCTGGGGTAACGGTAAGTGCCTCCGCTGTTTATAGCCGGTGTTGTAGTTTCGGCTAAAGAAAGATCCCTTTTCACGCCTTTCGGCGCATCGGGCATATGGGCAGAGCGTCCCATATTTTTACAGACCATCAGCACTCTGTGGGTAATGTGGTCAGCATAACGCCGGCTGTCTTTACTTTCCCAGGACAGCCCATCCTGGTACCCATTTTAGGCTGGGTCGACCTTGTTACCAGTACAAACACTACTGTCGTCTAACCGCAGCTACTCTTATCAGAATATGCAAGGTTAGGTCTCCACATATTTCAGGTCGTGACATGTTGGGCATTGTTAACAGTGCTCTATCTCCTCTTCTCGGCAGAAAGCTGGAAAAAAACAAGCTTCGGGAAATTATCAAGTACCTATGGTTTGGGATTAGGTCAGTCTCGTTCCTTCTAGTCAGGCCTTCCATTTATGCTTATTCGAACACGCACTAATGTCCTGGCAGGCAAATCCTTGACCACTCTGAATCTTTATTACTGTAGATACGTGAACAGAAAAGGATCAATCCCAGCTTTACACACATACAGTTTTCAAACGTGAAGAGATAAGTGTTTTTTTTCTCTCTCTATTTAGTGCTTTAAACTTTATCATCGATGTCCGTTGTTGAACTGTTTAAGTACACCAAAGTTAGTTGCGCATCCTTTACGGGACGTTGCAGAACCAATACCAGCACTTTTTGGCTGTTGTGATTTTTCTAGGCAAATTTTACGCTCAGTTGTTTGTCATTTCTTACTCAACGGCCAGCTCTTGGTATACTGTAGAAACCAAAGCAAGACAAACCGTCTGCAGCTGGGATCGAGACCGGCATTACGAAACCAGTTCGCAACACCTAAACCACTGTTCTGAGGTTTCTGTCTGCGTTGGATAAATAGGATTCAAAGACTGGTCAGTGTCGCACCAGTGGTTGTTATCTTTCAAGAGAAAATTGTGGTCACAGTTGGTTTCCAGGGGTAAACAAAGTGACCCATTCTGGTTGGGAATGAAATAACAAGGTTTTAATTTCCTCATTTTTTTAAACAAATGTGTTTACTTTTTTTACAAACTCACACGCACACACACACATACATATATATCCAGTACACACACACACACACACACACACACACACACACACACACACACATATCCGATACACACATGTGCGACCCAATACAGCAACAAAACATTCTGTAAATCTAAATTTGGAAGATCGTTGATGGACGTGTTGATGTTAATATCTTTCAGCTCACAAAGACCGGATCTATGCTGTAGTTCGTGATGTGGGCAATCCTAGCCCCAAGGATCCTTTCTTTCCAGTTGCCAGACAAAAGGATCACTTTACCGGATTTTCAATAGCTTCTGGATTGGTACCAGGGATTAGACAGGAAGAGTCAGCGTCTGAGGTAAGTCTTTTATGTTTGTGTGATGACCTAGTTGTGAAACAATTGCGCTTTGTAAACTGGGGCACAATGACGTAAGTTCTATTATGATGATTGCGTCACATGTCCTTGTGATGGCCATGCTATCGCTAATGCCATATTTATGGCGACATGAACAGCACGAAGTCATATACTTCCTGACAGAACACACCTGACACTGTGTTTCGGCTACTCCTACATTTGGTGAGTATTCCCCCCCCCTCCCCCCACTTTTTTCTTCACATATCTTGATCATTTTCAACTTTATGTTACATTGTTAATTGTATTCACCAAAAGGATTCCTCTAAATGACCCAGCTACGCATGCTCTGAATTGTCTGTCCTCCTTTTACCGGTGGCTGAATCAATGTTTCATCTATTTCATGTCTGTATACCAGGGCATCAACTGTTACCACGGGATAGCTGGACTGGGTGATGCCTTCAATGATCAGAACCTCAAACAAACTGGGCAAGTTCTGCTGGCCATGGAAATACACTCTGTGAGAGAGTACTGGCAGGTTTGTATACTTTCTAATCTCTCTCTCTCTCTCTCTCTCTCTCTCTCTCTCTCTCTCTCTCTCTCTCTCTCTCTCTCTCTCTCTCTCACACACACACACACACACACACACACACATACACCATATGAGTAGTCGCCTTGAATGACATGCTAGTCATGAGGCATCGGTCTATTCCCTCTCGTCAAAATAGTACCCCCTTTCCCCCCCCCCCCCATTCTCCTTCCCTGCCCCGAATGCGATGTTTGTCTCAAAAGTATCAATAAAAGAATTATTTTAATGTATAATTGAACTTTCCTAGACGTTTCATATTAAAACATCACTGTTATGGAATAAAGCGAAAATCGCATGGAGACCAGTCAGCTCTGCACTTTGCCTGCATCGTTTATGATAATTAGGCACATGACTGTTTATGGTAGTCCAACTTCCTCTGCGATTAGCAACATATTGAAACTGTCGCCATAATTGACAAGCGCCTTCCCACAAGCAATTTATTTTCAAGCTCTTGAACTTGAAGAACGCTTTGAACGCATTGTGCTATCTCAAGAGTTAAGCTAAAGAAAAATGGCACTCACGTAAACTGCCCTCAACATTTCCACTTTGTCGGAACCACCTTATCCATTTTGGCGCAGACTTCGCGGGCGGCTGGATTGCCCAGAGGATTTACCAGCTCAAAACTGCATTATCGCTGGCGACTATGTCTGGGTTCGCTAAAATACCGACTGTCCATCCGTCCACCATTTATGAAAAAAAAAAAATCGACCACGTTCAACCTAATGTGAGCATTATACCGACTAGTTTGGCTGTGAAAGCTGACGTATGATCTGTGATTTTTTAAAGTTTTTTTTAAATTTTCAATTACCAAATGTAAATATTTGCTCATTCTTCTCCTTTCTCATTTTTGGACCCATACGTGTATTTTGCCAGGCTATTAGTTTCAATGTTTCTAATCTGCTCCTCTGCTATGATCCTTGCTTGTAGTGGATCATTGTTTTGTGAAATCAGTTTCTTTAGGCTCATGTCTACATATCGTGGTTTCAATTCCCACAGTGGTATCTGAGGTTTATATCTCGTAGTTCAATTGCTCTTGCTAGTTCCTTATCTGTTTTTATTTTTTACTGCAGCTTCCATGCTGCTGGCCTAAGAATATTTCTTATTGGAACTTCCTTGAACTTATTTGTATTGGTGTCACATGCTGGATAATCATGATTGTGTGCGTTCTGACACTAGTAACTGTATATTAATTGCTTCCTTCTCATACTTAACCTAGCGCCACTTAGCGCCACTTCCATTGCTTCTCTTGATGTGCATTTACCTGCACCCATAATGGTGGCCAGTGCTTGGCAGTGCATACTATCTAGTTTACTTTTCGTGCAGTCGGTTGCTGAGTCATTTACAATGTTTCCATATTCTAGTTTACCTCTCCTTAAAGCTTTATAAAACTGTAAGAGAGTGGCTTGATGAGCCTTTAATGATCCTTAAAAAGTTGCTAATTCTTTTACATTTGTCTACCGTTGAATCAATGTTTGTCCCAGTTCCGCTTTTTGTTCATAATCATTTCTAGAAACCGTGTGTTCGTTACTCTTTGGATTGGTCCTTCACTGACTGTTTTTGTATCAGTATCAATGTAATTTTGGCTTTGTTTTTTGTAGTTAGAAACCATGCTCACTGTTTTGTTGGTATTTATTTTAAAAACCCAATAATTTTCAAAATCATCCAATTATTAACATCATTATTTTCTTTTTGTTATCTGTTTCTTGCTCTCTTCACTGACTTATCACATTTAAATATTGAACAATCATCCGCAAATTGTGTCAGGCTTACTCTTTGGTCTTTAATTACCTCATTAAGATCATTAACCAGTATTGAGAATATTGCTGTTGATAATACCGCACCTTGGAGAAATCCGTACTACTGTATTTAAATATGTGATCTGTCATTTTGAACGATGACTGAGAATATCATGTCCTCAAATAAGCTGTTAATGTACTTATATACTCATTCACGTAATTCAATTCTTATGTCTCCGACTTTATACAAGGCGGCTTATAGCCAACTCTGGTCATAAGCTTGAGCTAAGTCTAAAAATACAGCTACAGGGTTTTTTCTCTCAAATTTTGAACCTTTTCTTCGACTGTTATATCCACTTCTAGGTAGTGTCTTACTAAATTAAAATGTTGTGATTTGCCATTTAGTCTGCTAAAATCTTATCTCTTCTCTCTCACTCTCTTTCACTCTCTCTCTCTCTCTCTCTCTCTCTCTCTCTCTCTCTCTCTCTCTCTCTCTCTCTCTCTCTCTCTCTCTCTCTCTTCCTCGCCTACTCTCTCGAAAGAGCATAGTTAATAAAAGTACCTTAAAAAAAAAAATGCTTTTTCTTGGTCAGTCATTGCTAATGATATTTTATTATTGGGAATCCTATATCGCTTTTTATCTCCTATAACGGCACTTATTTGATCCCACATCTCGTTCGCTGAAATATTTGGTGAAAGTTTTTGACAAAATGTTTTCTATTGTTCCTCCTTGGCTTCTTTGATTATTCGGTTTGCTTCATTTATGTTGTTCTTATACGCATCAAAATTATCATGGGTTCTGTGTTTTCTATAGCTTTGGAGTGCTTTTTTCCCGTGTTCAGGTACTTTGGTGCAACGGTCGTTCTACCAAGGGACTAGGTCCTGGTGGTAAAGGCTGGGTGTTTACTATTTTCACCCTGAAGGTGATCTGGCATGTTTTTATTAGGCATGTTTTTAACTGCTATTTAGAGTATGCTATTTGTGAGTATCTCGGCATACAAATCTTTCGGCATACAAATGTACTCTTTCTTGTATATTTCGACTACTGCAGCATCATGGATCCACCTCCTCCCTTTACCATCTTTAACTTATGTGATTATTCTGAGCTACTCAAACAATTATTCTCACTTGTTGGACATACCTGGTAGATACAAGTCAAACGTCCGTTTGTGATTATAAAGGAAATATTTATGCTGTAACGGTAACATAACAGTTTTGATACAAATCTGTGTGTTACCTCTATTGAACAGGTCAGGGCTCACAATCGCAACCACTTCCCGCCCGTCATCCAGAACTATGGAGTTGTTGGCATGGTTACAGAGTCGGACTTCTACGCCTACACACTCAACTGGCCATGCTGGCCCAACATCTTTCCTCAACGCCATGCCTGCTTGATTGGTATACAGGTCATCCCTATCACTGCAGTCTCCAAGTACTGGGTGGACCAGGTATGCTGCCGGAATGCTGTCCTTTCATTTTATATCTATATTTGATGTGACTACAGTCCTGACTGAGCTTTTACCTACATACCAGCAGACTGACTAAATAGATGTGCATAAGACAAGTATTGATTGCAACGGCATACACACACACACACACACACACACACACATATATATATATATATATATATATATATATATATATATATATATATATACACACACATATATATATTTAACTGGATTGTATATATGAGACACAAGCCTATATAGAGAGAGACTGGCTTGCAATGCCTCATGACATAGACTGTATGAAGAAATAATAATAATTAAAGCAAAAAGTTTGTGTAAACTAATATATTTTATTGTGTGCACGGATGATAGAGATGTGTCTCATGTTTGTTTTACGGTGTTTATATCATGTATTGTTTTTCCATGTTATAGTGTTAATATGATTTTTTGCTGTGTTTACAAGGAATGGGCCGGAAGTATCCGACAGAGCTGTGAATGGGCAAACAACCCTAGCTCTCATCCGAGCTACCACTTAGCCGATATGACAGATGAGCTGAAAACTCCACTTGGAACTGTGAGTTCATGTGTATTTTATCTATTGATTGCTGTATGATCATATCCACATGACAGTGCTGATTTATCCCTTGCTAAACTGAAAGTTTTTCAACAGAAACGAATATGGTGTATCTTCAGCTTGAAAGTTGTTTTCCCTAGCAATGCGCAACAGTATGCAGTACGGAAACGTCAGAAACTTTTTTCAGCGATACAGTAGTAGACACTTTGTGAGGTGTACGACACCTTTTTAGACACATTCGGATCAGTACGACACCTTTCTTAGACACTTGTGATGAAAACGGCATTTTTCTTAGTTTCTGATGAGTACGGCACCTTTCTTAAATTATTTGTGATGAGTACGGCACCTTTCTTAAATTCTTTGTGATGAGTACGGCACCTTTCTTAAATTCTTTGTGAAGAGTACGGCACCTTTCTTAAATTCTTTGTGAAAAGTACGGCACCTTTCTTAGACACTGTGTGATGAGTACGGCACCTTTCTTAGATACTTTGTGATGAGTTCGGCACCTTTCTTAAATACTGTGTGATGAGTACGGCACCTTTCTTAGACACTGTGTGATGAGTACGGCACCTTTCTTAGACACTGTGTGATGAGTACGGCACCTTTCTTAGACACTGTGTGATGAGTACGGTACCTTTCTTAGGCACTGTGTGATGAGTACGGCACCTTTCTTAGATACTTTGTGATGAGTACGGCACCTTTCTTAGACACTGTGTGATGAGTACGGCACCTTTCTTAGATACTTTGTGATGAGTACGGCACCTTTCTTAAACACTGTGTGATGAGTACGGCACCTTTCTTAAACACTGTGTGATGAGTACGGCACCTTTTTTAGATACTTTGTGATGAGTACGGCACCTTTCGTACACAATTTGAGATGAGTACGGTACCTTTCGTAGTCACTTTGTCATAATAAAGGCACCTTTATAAGACCATGTGTGATGAGCACGGCACCTTTTTTAGACACTTTCTGATGCGAACGGCACCTTTATTAGATACTTTGAGATGCGTATGGCACATTTTAAATACTTTAAGATGAGAACGGTACCTTAATTAGACTATTTGAGACGAGAACGGAGCCTTTCTTAGACTATTTGAGACGAGAAAGCCACCTTTCTTAGACTATTTGTGATGAGAACCACGCCTTTTTTAGACTATTTCAGATAAGAACGGCACTTTTATTTAGACTATTTGAGATGAGAACAACGCCGTTCTTAGACAATATTAGACGAGAACGGCACCTTTCTTAGACACTTTGTAATGAGTACGGCACCTTTTTTAGACTATTTGAGATGAAAAATGACATCTTTCTTAGACTTTTTCTGATGAGAACGGCACCTTTCTTAGACTATTTGAGATAAAAATGGCATCTTTCTTAGACTTTTTAAGATGAAAGCGGCACCATTATTAGACTATTTGAGATGATAACGGCACTTTTCTTAGACACTTTGTAATGAGAACGGCACCTTTCTCAAACACGTTGGGAGGAGTATCAACATCTGGGTCCCCCCCCCCCCTTTCCCAAGAAAAAAACCTCTTCTTTTTAATAGGCGTGGACTAAAGTTTCTTTATGTGTGCTGTGGGTTTAGGACATTTTATTCCTGATTTAATCATTTCCGATCTGCTGTGATGGATATCGAATATTGCTGTCAGGAATCTCATCCCAACGGTTATTTTTCGTCTCTCTCTCTCTCTCTCTTTCTCTCTTGTGGGTGTGTATATGTGTAGGTTTGTGTGTGTGTGTGTGTATGTGTGTTTGTGTGTGTGTGTGTGTGGGGGGGGGGTTATTATGTAGGTCTGGCATTGATAAAAACTAATAATAAAAACATCAAGTAGCAATATAAAGTAATTATCGATAATTCAATTATTCTGAATTAGCCAGTCCTCACTAATTATCATTTATTGATTATAATTAATTTTAAATAACCTAATTTGTCCACTTAAGTAAACAGTTGAAATTAGTGTTTATAATTATGTATAATTTATTTATCATGTATTACTTACTCGTCGGTTATTAATGATTAAACTACGTATCAGTCAATCTATGTTAGTCACACTTCAACAGTGAAATTAATGTTTCCAGGGTTGGCAAGCATTCTGTCACGCCGCCATGGCACCTCTAGATGCTGCTCATGCAGCAGCAGCTGCAGATTTCGTCAGGAACCTCGGCCCCCAAGATCTGGTTGGAGGCACAGGCTCGGCCAGTACATTGTTGTTCATTTATGCCAGCACATAAACACACCATGCTGTATACACGAACTTGATTATTTTTTGGACTCAGATGGGTTATTTAAATCTGTGGTTCTCTTCATAAGAATAAAGCACGTGTTTTCTGTCAAAGCTTTCTACGCCGCCACTTTGTCTAGGCTAGGCATTGGTTATTTATTTTCAGTTCACCCTAAACAACGGAAATCCCATAGTCCCCCGGTTTAGTCATGACTAGGTCTAGGATCTTTGTCAACCCCGACCACCTCAGAGACACCGCCTTACAATAACACTAATCCTAACTATAACCCTTACCCTAACCTTCACCCCAGCTCATAACGCCCCTAGAATATTGCATTTTCCCGGGAAATCCGGGATTTTCTTTGTTTGTGTGAATTAAAAATAAAGTACCCAACTTTTCCATTTTAAAAACAAATACTTCACCATCGTCAGAGCATTTTCTGGCGGTATGCAAAGGTCGGCAGTACTGACACTATTTACTGTGTATACGTTTTTTCCCCAGCAGTACTTTAAACGGGAGCGGCTGATCGAAGGTTTAAAACGCAGGTTTCTCAAGTGGGAGGCCCAAGTTCGAATCCTCGCTAAGGCTGGTGTTTTTTTTTTCCTGTCGTTGGCAAACATAAAATCCTAACCTGCACAGTCCCTGGCGACAGCACTAGTCATGCGACACTAGTTCTTCAGGTTTAAAGGCCGCACTGCCAACATCACACAAACTGGTAAATACAGAGAGTTATGGTAGTTTTACTGTTTTCATCGACACTTTTGGTCAGTAATGGAACCTCATACAGACACACACACACACGCGCGCGCGCGCGCACACACACACACACACACACACACACACACACACACACACACACACACGAAAGGAAGTCAAAAAGCAAGTTACAAATGGTTATGAGATTGCAGGAAAATGTAGTGAGTTATTTCTAGAAGTCTAATAGGTGACAGCAACATAGCGCTTTATGTCTCCCTTCGTTAGGTGGCGCTAGGTGTTGCATCCACATTCGCAACACAAACACAGAATGGCAACTGTACTTACGGATTGTACACTCAGAGAATAACGTGCTGTTGTGCGTGTTTTTTTTGTTTTTTTTTTGCGGGAGAAAGGGGGCGGGGGGAGTTGCCTGTAAAAGACATTTATATGAAATGCTTCCTGTTTATGCTGACAAATGTTTATCCCGTTAAGCGGTGCATAGCTGGTAAAAGTGCTGATGAAGTCCGATTTGGTAGTCCTGTTGAGAATGCAATAGTCGCATAAGCGCAGCTGGTGAAGGAGATGATTAGAGCTCACAGGCGGGTAACGGTTGACTCTGTAGCAGATGCAATAAGGTGCTTACATGGTTTAACATACAACACAATGCATGATCGATTGAAATTTAAGAAAGTGTGCCCAAGGTGAGTACCCAGACAATTGACGGACGAACACAAAATAAACTGTTCAAGGCTGTCCTTGCAGCATCTCTGTCGATACGCAGATGAATGAGAAGACACGCTGAACATGACTTTTACTGGAACGAATCATGGGTGCATCACTGCCAGCCTAAATCAAAGCGTGCTTCAATGCAATGGAAACATCCTTCTTCAACTTGTGTTAAACAAATTCAAGATTATACCATCAGCAGGGAAAGTTATGCTGACAGTGTTCTGGGATTGTCTAGGAATGCTTTTAACAAAGTTCTATCGATATTTCATGGTGCAATTCGAAAAAAACGTTTAGACCAGTTGGTCTACTGAAAAACCCACATTGGTGAATGACACAGAAGTTGAATGTAAAGCGAAAATGTGGTTTAAAAACAAAAAAAGCACGCAGTTCTATGCAGCAGGTTTAGGAGGACTGATAAAACGATGGGACAAGTGCATCAATGTTGGTGGAAATTATGACAAAGAATAAAGGGACGGTGTGTGTGTACAAATAAACGGGTTTAAGTTGTATCGTCTTTAGTTTTTTTTTAATGACCATCAATGACCAATGGGGTTGTTATTGTCACCATTATGCAGTTTCGTCACTGCACTGAAGGTTGGAGATAAGAGACCTCCAATATATGACGTCGCTATATTTTCTGATAGTCTGCGGCTTTGACGTTGCGAAGACTTTACCAAATTCCGAGGTGCCGGGCTCAATCCCAGCTACGGACGAATGGGTGTGGGGGGTGGGGGAGGGCTGGGCACCGTGCATTGGGTTGGTTGACAGTGATATTGAGATCAGACTGTCAAAGGGTAATGGCAAACTACCGAACGTAACATAGCCTAGTTACATCACACACACACAAACATTAAAAAGTTTTTAAAAAGCTGGGTGGGTTCTGTAACGTTCTCAATGGATATGCAGTTACCATTTTTAAAATTAGTTTTATAATCCATGGCATGTTTGGTTGGCATTCATGTCGGCACACAGTTTTCTGTTTCTTGTCTTGTTTCTTAATCAGCTCTGAACCTCTGATACTGACGCTCTTCCATGCCATTATGACAAAGTGTCTAACATCTCATCTCTTAGTCCTCGTTTTTTTATTTCTTGCCCCCTTCGCTCTTGCCAAACCTCCCTCCGTAAATTCTCATTCCAGTTTTTCTTTTCTCATGACAAACAGATGTGGACCATTGGGACAGTTTAAACATTATATATAAAACAGACAGTGTTTTGAACGGTACTCATAGAAAGAAGAAGATAAAAGTTCAAACTAAACAACATAAAAATCAAAAACTGTAGTTACCGACCAATCGAATCTCTCTCTTTAATGTTTGTTTATTCTAGACACAACTATAGATTCGATTTTTATGTTGTCTAGTGTGTCCCCATGACGTGACCACTCAATGCGGATTGTCTTTTTCATTTGAGCTAATCAGTTCTCTTTGTGAGCTAACTTCCCCCAAGACAGCGTCACAACACATTTATCTGCCTTTGTCTTCTCGTCATATGTCTATGAAACCACATCTTCAAAGCTTCTACTTGAATTGTCTTTCACTAATCGACTGAACGTCTGTCTATCACTTCTGCTTCCACATGTATACCTCGAAGAACCCACTGGGTCAAGGGTAACCCAACCCAAAAACTCGCTTCAGAGACAAGCATAATTTATTAACAGCGTAAATTCTTTGCATAAAGACCCAAAGTGACATCTAAGGAACATGTAAACAGTAACTCTAACATTTTTGAACAAATCAATGCCATTTATGGACAGATGGGTTGAATATTTCGAAATGCTTCGAAATAGACCAGGCCCAGAGGTTCCCCCAGATATCCAGCCTTTAGAAATGCAACTGGATATCAACTGTGAGATACCATCTAAAGATGAAATTAGAAAAACTATCAATCTTCTCAAGGAAGGAAAGGCGGCAGGTCCAGATGGTATCTCAGCTGAAGCCATCAGGGCCAACAGAAACACATCAACAGAATTGCTACATAGATTATTCAGTAACGTCTGGGAGACCGAAGAAATACCAACAGACTGGAGAGAAGGATATCTTGTGAAACTGCACAAAAACAAGTGATCTACAGGAGTGTGAAAACTATAGGTGAATTATGTTGCTGTTAGTTCCTGGAAAAATATTAAGTAGAATTATTTTGGAAAGATTAAAAGATGCTACTGATAAAATGCTAAGAGATGAACACGCAGGTTTTCGTTCAAACAGATCCTGTACTGACCAGATAGCCACATTACCTATTATAATAGAGCAATGCATTGTACTGAACTCACCACTTTACATTGGATTTATAGACTATGAAAAAACATTTGACAGCATTGATAGGGAATCTCTTTGGGAATTGATGGGGCACTATGGAATCCCACATAAAATTATTAACTTAGTAAAAGCAACACATAAAGACATGAAATGTCGAGTTCTTCATGAGGGAAAGCTAACAGATACATTTGAAAATCCATAAAGGAAAGACAAAGATAATGAGAAAAAATCAGGCAAATAGTAATGTGGTTTCCCTTAATGGCACCCCACTCCAAGACCTGAAGTCGTACACCTATTTGGGCAGTAATGTAGATAAAGATGGAGGAACTTATAGAGATATTAAAATAAGAATACAAAAGGCAAGAGGAGCTTTCATAGCACTAGGAAATTTGTGGAGGTCAAAACAAATTAAAAGAAATACTCAACTAAATTTTTTTTAATTCTAATGTCAAATCAGTACTTTTGTATAGGGCGGAAACATGGAGAACAACTAAGGCAATTACTAATTTTCTTCTTCTTCTGCGTTCGACATCAGTCATGCTAAACATTGAGTCTAACAAACAACTAATAAATTACTAAACTACAAACATTCATTAACTGGTGCCTGCGCAGAATAGAAGGAATTAAATGGTATGATAGAATAACTAATGTAGAGCTTTGGGAGAGAACTAAACAGGCTCCAGTGGACCAAGAGGTGAGGAAAAGACTCTGGCGTTGGATAGGACACACACTGAGAAAACAGGAGAACAACATAACTAGAATGTCTTTGCACTGGAACCCACAGGGGCATAGGAATAAAGGAAGGCCAAAAAAGCACACGGAGAAGAGAGCTGGAGAATGAAGTTAGAAAGATGGGGAGGAAATGCGGAGAGCTCCATGCAATGGCGAAGGATAGAACGACTTGGCGTGAGTTGGATGAGGGCCTATGCTCCATTGGGGGATAGAAAGACAGAAGAAGAATGCCATTGAAGTCCCCTTCGATCACTCTGTAGCAACTCTCGCTACCATGAGGATTCACTTCACAGAGCCACCTATAAAATACTTACAAGGTAAGTTTTTACACTATTTTGCATTTTACTAATTTTTGTTTACAACTGGGAATTAACATGTCGATTAAATTCTTTGTAGTTTCTGAATTATCATGTTAAAAAAATGAGCGAGTCACCGATGACCCACCGGGGCATAATGGTTGTGAAAGTACATTTTCTTAGCCATTCCTGCATATACTCTTGCACACGCAACAAATAAGACATTCTTAGGCCATTTATGAAGCTTACTTACAACGGACCTTATATTCACTGATAAACTAAACTAATTTAGCGCAGCGTT